AAATTTGAATGTTTTACATACAAGAATGTCAACTGTCGATCATATTTCCAACAAAATAAAGTCTTCATTATTATTTTCAGATAGATAGAAAGTTATCTATCCATCTAGCAAATTAGCTAGTGAGATAGATAGATAGATAGATAGATAGATAGATAGATAGATAGATAGATATTCATAGACTGATATAGACTGATACATTGATAGATAGATATGAAGAGATTGGTATAATAGATTAATTGATATGAACAATGAGATACATATAAACAGACTGATATACAAACAAGATATGAATATTCTGGGATAGATAGATAGATAGATAGATAGATAGATAGATAGATAGAAATTGATAGACTGGTAAAGATTGATAGATTCATAGATAGATATGAACAGATTGTTATAAATAGATTAATTGATATGAATAATGATAAACAGACTGATATACAAACTATATATATATATATATATATATATATATATATATATATATATATATATATATATAATGAGATAGATAGAAGCTTGAATTTATTATATGTTCGCTAGAATCGCTTAAAATATCTATATTCGAAATTGGCTGCCTATCTGTACGTTGTTAAATGAGGGCAATGTGTAAATCTTACGTAATTATATGACATCAAATGGATGAGATTCTGAGTATTTGTTCTCACGCCCAGTCGAACTGAATATGACACATAGGCGAATTTAAACTGGGAATCCTATTTCTACATGGGATAGGTTAAAAAAAAAACTACTAACTCCTTCGGCTATCCGTCGATGGACAGGTCTGTCATCAGTGGGTGATGTTGACACTTCACTTTTCAGTACACTTCAGGAGCTGCTTAGAGGATGGTCCCTGTACCTGGTCATATAATCTGTCAGCATGGGTCTCATAGCTGATCGGAAGTTGCAGATCTTGTTGATTAAGTATTTTACATATTTCGCATTAAATATATTTTTGCAGTTCATTTCAAATTGCATGTTTTGTGATCTTTTTAATTAGGCGATTGTTTGTTTATAGATTTTACAGTTAAGTTGCTCACTTATTCTGATAAAATCATGTTCTGTCTGGTAATCTTTGTATCACAACTTAGGAGTAAAGGGAAATAATCAACTTATAAAGGGAGATAATCAATGGTGACCAACCAGTTTTTCTTTTGGTATTTTTAAATGAGTAGCTTGTTAGCCTACTTTTAACATAATAAAAAATTTTTGAAAAAAATGTTTTTTTCAGTAATGATAATTTACTACTTGTTTCTTGAAAACTTTTTACACATAAAAAACAGATTTTTTTGATAAAACCTGATTTTTTCATGAAAAACCTGATTTTTTCGTGAAAAACCTTTCTTTCACATAAAAAACAGATTTTTTTGATAAAACCTGTTTTTTTCGTGAAAAACCCGATTTTTTCGTGAAAATCCTGATTTTTTCGTGAAAAACCTGATTTTTCATATAGCTCGAGGATAATACAACCTCTAAGCACTACAAGCAGGACCACCGTAATCAAATCTTGCAGTACTTGGCATTGTGGCGGGCTAATGAGATTTGGTATATAATTGTTAAGAAGGCTTTGGTGAAGGTTGCTTTTTTCATTAGCACATCACATTTAAATTCTACAAAGAAACACAAAGAAGGAATAACAAGAAATTATTCAGTAATCAACAATAACATATATTGAAAAACAAGCGAGTACAACAATTGTGTTTAGTGAAACAAAGTTAAGAGGAAGTAGTTCCCCTTGTACTGATGTGAGATTATAAATGTGTTAAAAGAACTTTCTTGTTTAAAATGTTCAGAGTTCAGCAATATGTGATAACTGTGTTTAAGTATGAGAAAGTTGTACAAAAGAATGAGTTTGTTACTTGGCTTTTTGGACAGACAGTTCACAGCGTAGTGCAATTGTAATTTTGTGTCTGTGTGTGTGAGTAGAAGAATGAGAATTCACGTACGTGCTTCAGCTTTGGAGATTTACTGTTTCTACTACTGTTCTTTTCTTTGATTTTCGTGTTATTTATACTTTCTGAATAGGATCCAGGAACGAGAGCGGGAAAAATATTGAAAGGAGTGTTATATTATATTATTGGTCAAAAATCAACCAATCACTGATTTTTTTTTTTTTTTTCTAAACCACGTTTGGCAAAGTAAACATCAGAAAATTTGATGTGGCTCATGCGATGCATAAATTGTCTTATAGAAAATAGTGCTTATTTTCTATCCAATGGCTATTGAGTATTTTGTGGGCGTGGTGTATGTAAACAACCGCTAAAACATCCTCCTGGACATATTCCATAACAAATAAATGGTATTCATTCTTTTTGCATAAAGCTTCCCCAATATGGTGTGAAAAATCACTTACCACAAAATTTTTGATACGAAGATTTAGATACCTCAATTTTGTTTTCTTTCATGCCTAATTTTTAACCTCTTCAAAATAATTACGTTTTATAGTGTGACCCCCACGCTATTTTTGCAAAAAAATCTAACCATAAAACTCCCACTATACACGAGTATATAGAGTGCTGCTTTTCCCTGAGATAAGTTGCATAATAAATGTCAACTCTATTTTCTCGTTGTTTACTTATCTCACAATGTGTCAACATTAATTTGTTAAGAACAAGCGATAAATTGAAATAAACCTGTCATAAGCTGATCGTAGGGGATACATGGGGCATTGGTACTATGATTGCCTTGTCGTCAAAATAGGTTACTTTCCTTTTTTTATTATTAAAACTGAGTTTTAAAGTCAAAACTGTGGTCGCGATTTTAATCAGAATGAAACCGAAATGTTATCCTCTATCAACAGCAGACATCTACCAAACAAAATGCAAACATTACACCAAAATATATATCCGTGAAACCTTTCTATATATCAAGATATAAAGAAAATTGAGTGATAGATTGAATTATTTTTACGGCTCATGAAGCTATTACAAGTTGATTAAAGCCAGAAATTATTTTTTCAGATTATAAAATTTTTGGGGACAATAATGATTTACTAATAAATGTCTTGCTAATTGACCCATGGCTAGCAGAAAATAGGTGGGTTCCTTTCTTTCCGAAGTGTATTTGCGTGTATGTGAATATAACGAACCTGACTGGAATTGGAACTCGGCTCACCGATTTCCAATACCGATGCGTTATCCAAACTTACACCTAGTATTCCCATGATGACACGCGTCTAGGTACTGACCAGATACGACGATGCTTAACTTCTTTGATCGTACGAAAACAAGTGTTTCAACGTGATATGACCATAAACCCACAGAAAGAAAGGAAGGGAAAATGGCTGAAGAAGAGATGCCAGGTTAGGACCGATATAATTGCAAAATATTTATTCTATTTTTTCAAGAATTTAATTCTGCATAGTAAAAGTACCAGATGTGACAGCAATAGATAAGGGCCAATGGTGGACTTATAAACACAGCGGAAAATGCAATCCCAGCAGCAAACCTCGCAATTGATGCAATATAATCATTCTAATTCATGCTAATGGACAAAGTTAAGCCCAAGTCACTGTCCTGGAGGTTAGCGCCAATCATGTTGGTGATAAGGAAAAAAAAAGGTTCACTAAGGCGATTTGCTTTAGTGGCGTTAAAATAATAACGTTACTACGTTAAACAATGTATGATATGTTAATTGCGAAAATCAAAAGTTGAGTTCAGTTAGCTAAAATCTAATATTCATAGCGTTGTTTTGCATTAAAATATTAAGAAACCATTACTAATATCTGCTCAACATATTACAGTATGAAACAAAATTTGGATCTCTGGATGTCACAGATGTCCCTGAGAAACAGGGATTATCTAAACAGCCTATTAGACGGGCATACTCGGAGAACGAACCTATCTATCCATTGCTCTCTCTCTCTCTCTTTCTCTCTCTCTCCTCTCTCTCTCTTTCTATATATATATATATATATATATATATATATATATATATATATATATAGTAAAAGTGATAAATCTGTTGGCATATAATGCAAGTGGATCATAGTAATATAAAATATTAAAACTGAAAAAAGTGCTCAATGTATTTATTACTAGCAGTAGAGTCCGACCTTGACCGGGGATGTAGCAGTAAGAGATAGATCAAGTATCGACCCTCATAAAGACTGAAACATAAAATTGACAAAGATTATTGTTTGATATATTATAGGTTGACGGACATGCATGTCTTAATTTTTTTTTTTTTTTTTTTTACGAATTGGTCAAACCCAAACTCAAACAAAAACATTGTTTTCAATCGTTATGAGTCTACCGATTGAATAGAATTTTATTATAAACAATTGTCTTGTAAATGGAATTTTTAAAGCATTCTGAATGTAAGAATAAAAAAAAAGTGTGCAAGATAATAAGAAACACTACCTGCCAAAAAAAGTGAAGTTTTGTTGAAATCGGTTGAAAAATGTAGGAAATCCGATCCCATATATAAACAAACACAGACACACACAAACAACTTAGGTTTTATAATAAGTATTACTCGATATGAGTTGTCCCCCTTTCATTCTGGCGACTTAATCGTGTTTTCAAATTGATTTCGTGCAAAAACAATTGTGTTTTTCCAATTTTTGGCGCTGTCAGAACCACCGAAAGGTAATTTTACGTAGTCTTATGAAGTTTTGTTGAAATCGGTTGAAAAATGTAGGAAATCCGATCCAATATATAAACGAACAGACACATACACACACACACACACAAACTGGGTTTTTTAATAAGTATGATTACAGAGCAAAAATTAATACACAATAAAATCCCAAATCACCTCATATGGGGAATAAGCTTATTTCAACCGACGAAAATATTCGTCATCCTTATTCAACCCTGTATATATACGGCGAGTCCATAAAGTCTGAGTACAATTTAAAAATACATTGCAAAGTCAAATGATGTGGCCTCAGAACGAGATGACTTTTAACCAACTCTCATTTTCCAGCCAGATGGCGTACTACCACATTATGGGCTGCATGTTTTAAGGTTCCTAAAACATTTCCAGACCGGTTGGAT